GAGGGCAGGGAAGAGCCTTCCTGGTTGGGAAAGGAGGAACTCAGAGCTACAACTCTCTCTTCCTTGGCTGACTTTGCCTCAGCCCCCAAATTAAGCTGTTTTTCTCATCACAAATACCAACTTATTCAGAAACTGTTGTAGATGTCAAGTCAATGCTAATTACAAGAGCGCTCTGAACTAAACCCCGCAGTGACATTACTTGCTCAGAGCATACAATAAGTAGGGGGCAGAATCAGAATAGAATCCAAGTCTCCAGATCTCTAAAATGCTTTGCCTCCTACTGCTCTCTCACTCCTGTGCCATTCATCACGCAGCCTCCTTCTCCCAATAAAACCTCAATCTGTGCTTCTTTCTCTCTCTTTGTTCCCTATCACAGCATTTCTCACTGTATTACGGCGATGTGTAATCCTCTGTCTCCCCCACTAGACTATGAGCTTCTGGAGATCAGGAGCAATGCCCATCTCGTTCTCCAGCATATCCCTAGCACTTGGCATAATATCCCTCACCAAGAAGTGTCAACACATGCTTGCTAGTGAATCTGGAATGAATCTCTGTCACTTTGCACACAGATGCACCTGCTTTGTCCTTCCTCATCCAACCTTCACCGCTGTGCCTCTAAAGCTCTAGCAGCCCTCACCTCTCTGTCTCTTTGGAGACAGAAGTAATATTCAAGTGGACAATATTTAAGTGAGTATAAATGTGAGATGTTAAGATGTTAAGTGAGATGTTAATCTGATTGAGTTAATCTGATCTGAGTCTGACGGGTAATATCTGAATGTGTGAGAGCAATATCTAGAGAAGGGTTACTTAAGTGAGCATCGGTAATATCTAATTGTCTGTGGACAATAATAGAATGAAAGTGAGTGTGTTTAATGACTAGCTAACTGATGTGGGCAATATTAATGTGAGTGTGGACGCTAACTGTTTTTCTGTTGGTAGCATCTGAGTGAACATGGGTATCACTCAAGTCTGTGTGGGTTATATCAGAATAGTGTGGGTAATATCCAAATTTCTACTGGTTACACTGGAGTAAGCCTGAGTAACAAGCCTGCACTTGTGGGGGTAATGTCTGAGTGAGTGTGGCTAATAGAGTCTTTGTGGGTAACTTCTGATGGCCTGTGTAACATTCAACTGTGTGGGTAACAACATCCAGATGAATGAGGCCATTTCCTGCATCGGTGCTCTGAATCGCTTTATATTCTGCTTTCTCAGGCGTCCTTGCTGTATTCACTATCCCTGCTGTCTTCTGCACCTCCATCCCACATGGACTTTCCTTTCTTTGCCTGGCTTTTAAATATTGGTCTTCTTCAGGGTCTTGTCCCAGTATCTCCCCCCCCCCCTCATATATATATATATATTTCAGAGAGGAAGGGAGAGGGAGAGAGAGAGAGAAACATCAATGATGAGAGAGAACCATTGATTGGCTGCCTCTTGCACACCCCACACTGGGGATCAAGTCTGCAACCTGGGCATGTGCCCTGACTGGGAATTGAACCATGACCTCCAGGTCCATGCCAGCTGGGACCAGTATCTCTCTCTCTCTTTTTTTCTACTCTACACAAATGTTATCTATTCGCATGGCTTCCATTACTTCCTCTAAGCAAAGACCTTTGAAGTCTGTGTTTCCAGCTCAGACCTCTCCCCCAGCTTCCAGATCCTTGGGTTCGACGGTTGACTGGACAATCCCACCTGGGTATCTTGCCAGCATTTATGTTCAGCTGGTTCCAAATTGAATTAACTTATAATCTCTTTTAAACCTGATTCTGTTCCTGTGTAATCCTTCTCATTATACGGTACCAATATCCATCCAATTATTTAAGCCAGAAACCTGACTGTCACCCTTTGACCTCTTCCTCCCTCTCTGTTTCTCACAAATCACTAAATCCTGTTGATTCCACTTCCAGAAATGCCTCTCAAATCCATCCACTGTCAGTACCTTCCTCTAGGCCAGCATCATCTTTCACCAGGACCAGTGTAATATAATGGCCTTCTATATGTGTCTACCTTTCCCACCCCCTGCCATCTACACATGTATTGTCCTGCAAGCTATCCTTCACACTACAGAATTAATCCTGGCAGGACTACTGAAACTTCCAGCAGTTCCCATTGCTCTTAAGATAAAATTGACACTCTTTAGCCAGGTCTATAAGGCTCTCCGTAAACCCTTTAGCCTGGTCTTCATTTTTGAGTGCTAATTGTTCCTCTTTTATGGTGTATGTTTTGGGCGCCCAGAAACTAGGGCATACTGAACAAAGGTGACATGGACTTAAACTCTGGGCTCTTACATATACAGTTCATCTTCTAGGGATGCTTTTTGCCTTTTTTCCCTGTTCACTTGGCTGGCTCTCTCTCGTCTTTTTTATTTTTATCCAGTTCATACTTCACCTTCTCAGGAGGCCAACTTTGATTCCCAAGTCTAGGCTAGGCTAGAGGTGCTCCTCTTCTGTGTTCCCCAAAACCTCTCAAGGCCCCTCCCCCTTTGTGCTGCAATTCCCTGCTTACTTGTCTGTCTCTTCCACTAAACTGTGAGCTCCATGAAATAGGAACAGTGTCAGTTTCGCTGCCTAGCACAATCCCTGGTTCAATAAATATTTGTTGAATGAAAGAATCTAAGTGAGAATGTGTAATAACTGTCTGAGAAAGCATGTCTTATTGTGTCAGTTAAGAAAAACCCCTTGAATTATAATTTATTCCCACTTTCCCTTCGTGGGCTTAGAATAATTTCCTTCTGCTTACCACTGCTTCCTCTTTTAAAATCCCACTTCTGCCTTTTCTGCCTGACAAACTCCAACTTCAAGATCCATCTCCAGGTTCCCTCTACGAAGTTCTTGGACCCCATTTCCTTTGGACGCTAATCATTCAGACCCTCTTGTGGGACTTCCCATGCTTAATGTGATTTTTCCATTGGTATTGTCTCCCCTCTGCAGGGATGAGGGTCCAAGCAAGGTCTAGTTCATCCCTGTGTCCCCAGCTCCTGGCCCAGGGACTACAATAACAGGTGCACAGTAAACATTTAAGGAAAGGAAAGGCCCAGGAAGGGAAAAAACATCTTGATCCAGGCCATCAAAAAAAAAAATTAGGATGTTGACTCATGGGAAGAGTGAAAGTTATTTTGGGGAATAGGTGAATGGATATCATCTGAAGGTGGGGGGGATGAGGAGATGGTGGCACAAAGGCAGGGGGTGATAAAAGGGGTAGTCCAGCTGGGGGGGGAGGGTGGTTTGCAACCTAAGGAGAGGCAAGTTGGAGAGGAGGCATGGAAGGGATTTGAAGATGAGTGAAATGGAGACAGGCAGCTCTAGGAGCAGCATTCAGCCTAACTTACAGCTTAATTCAAGTTGGAGGATCTCTTTAGGGAAGGTTGGGGTTGGGGAGGGGGACACAGATTATGATTCTAACTTCCCACTCAGGTCTTCCAGACTGCTCCTTCCTTCAAACGGCCCCTGCTTTCCCCCAATCTTGCCTTCCTTCTGTCCTCCCCCATTGTGGCTCTGTGAGTTGTATGTAAAGGGAAAGGAGAGACCTGGAAGGAATGGCAGCAGGAGGTCCTTGCTCCCCCACCCTCCGTGTCTAGCTCTCCGTGGCTGTGTGTGCGGAGGGTGCTGTGTTTGGGTTTACAGGCAGCTCGGGGCGGGATCAGGGTGTGAAGGGACTCTGACCAGGTAGTGTGATGCTGGGATGGAATGTTCTGAGCTGCAGGGGACACATATGTCAGGGGAGCTAGGCGCCCTGCGAGGACGGTGTGAGCACTGGAGGCGGCGGTGCGGGGGCAGTGGGGTCCCGCTATTCGGGTGGTGGGGTGGGGTGCAGCCAGAAGGAGCTTTTGGAAGGAGCTTGAGGAGGCACCCACCTCGTGTCCCGTTTCCTCGGGCGGCAGGCGGCTCGCAGCTGAGGTTGCCGGTGTCACTGCCGTTGAGGAGGGCGACGCCGGGGCGGCAGAGGGCTGCCCCTGGCCCGGGTCCCGGTCCTGGCATGCTCCGGTTCAGCTTCAGCAGCTCCATGGCCCCGG